AATTGGGATTAAATAATTAAAACTTAAATACAATTCTTAAAGATTATTTTGTTTAATATTGGGAATGCTGCTATGCCAAACAATTTTATAAAGCATAGAATTGATACAATCTTAACTCTATTATTTTAAATTACTTTTAAAATTTAATAAATAGTTGTAAGCCCCCAAAATATATTATTCATAAACTATTCAGAAAATTTATTCTCTCTTTAATATATGAATTAATTTTAATTTCTTTTTCTTTGTAATATTTTTAAATAATAGTTTTATATGTAAAATTAATGGCCCAAACTGTTCATTATTGCAGCATCTTACTTTTGCAGTAAAAATTATGTTTTTATATCTCACCATATAAAACAGATGAGATTTTCTACCCTCAGTTATGTATGAGATATTTGCAACTGGATATGCAGATATTATTAACTGTTAGTCCAAATGATCTCCCTTTTTGTTACATTGATTACATATGGTGGTAACCAAAGTGATCACTTGTCGTGCACGAGTGCAGGGACCCCAGAAATGCCAGTGAAGTGGGCATTTGGTTATTTGGCCTTTCAAAGGCTGAGGCCAGATTTGAAGCCAAGGAGCAGATCTTGGCTAAATAATGATGTCGAAGCCACACTTTGAGGTTTTCCTACTTCATCTGAAAAATTTAAGTCTTGATACAATGTTTAGAATGCATTTGGATACAGTGCCACTTTCATTAAGTGCCCTGGCCATGGATAACAATGACTCATCTTTCCATATGAGTTCGGGTTTTCATATCATGTCTTTTACTATTTATGTTTAATGTGTGCTCATTTTTATTTACTTGGTATACCGCTTGGCAGTCTTTCTTCAGCTCATTTCTACCTGGATATTCTTCATATATTTCACTAGTGGACAGTGCCTGCATACCCAAACTTCATTTAGCTTCTGCCTTTCTCTACCAGAAGGCTTTACAGTAGAAGCTTTCTGATGGCACTGCTGCCTTTAAGGTCTCCTCATAACAGTCAATTAAAACTGAGTGTTGGGGCCGGCCCCGTGGCTTAGCGGTTAAGTGCTCGCGCTCCACTGCTGGCGGCCTGGGTTCGGATCCCGGGCGCGCACCTACGCACTGCTTGTCAGGACATGCTGAGGCCGAGTCCCGCATACAGCAACTAGAAGAATGTGCAACTATGACATACAACTATCTACTGGGGCTTTGGGGGGAAAAATAAATAAATAAAGTTAAAAAAAAAAAAAAAACAAAACTGAGTGTTGTTGGGGAGAATCCATGAAGTGATTTGTAATTCAGATTTGTCATCAGTTGTGTTAGCTCTGCCTTACTGCTTGAGCTGTTCATATGTTCTGCACAGAGAGAGGAATGATTCTCTTAGGCCTGTGTGAGGACCCTGTTTCTTTTCCTCAGACCATGAGCCTTGACTCCAAGTTCCAATTAATTAATTAATTAATAATAAAATAAACAGATATGAAACTCCTTCACCCCCAAACTAGAATATTCCTAGCAATTATGTGCTCTCCACTTGTCTCATCCCTCTGTCTCCCCATCAGAGGTAATCATGTGATCTTGTGATTTTCGTTATTTATTTAAAAAGCTTTATCACATACACACACACATATTGATGCCTAAACAACATAATGTTCCATTTTCCTTCAGTTTGAATCTACAAAAAGAAGTATGATATATTGTCTTCTAAGAATTGCTTTTTTGACTCAATGTTATGTTTCTAAGATTTACCGTATTGTGACATGTGCTATAGTTCACTCATATACACTGATAAATACTGTTTCATTGTGTAAATTTATTACAGCTTATGCACTCATTCTTCTGTCGACTGGGTTGAACGCTTGGGTTGTTTCCATGTTTTTTTCTATTATAAACAGGGCTGCTATGACCATTGTATATTTCTCCAGGGACACATGTAAGAATTTCTCTTGGAATTTTTGTGTTGAAGTTAAGTGAATGTTTAACTTGACAAGATGATGCCAAATTGTTTTCCCGAGTGATTTACCATTTCACACCCCTCCCCTAGTGGTATATAAAAGATCCTATTTATCCAATCCCCTCCAGCACGGTTCAATCAGAATTCTTAATTGTTGCCAATCAAGTAGTGTAAAATAGTACTCATTGTGGTCAGGATTTGCATTTCCCTGACTACTAGTGACCAGTAACTTTTTATAAAAATTAAAATTCAGGAACTTTTACACTTTATTCCAGTCCTAGTTTGGATTCACCTATGCAAATCTTACAGTCCTTTGCATACTGTTCCCTGCATCCTGCTTCCCCAACCACTGATCTTTTTTGTACATCACCTGCCTTGCCTGAAGATGCCCCTTATTTCAAACCATACTCTTTCCTTTTAAGTAAACGCAGTTCCAGACTCACCTTTTCCATGAAACCTGTTCTTGTAAACATCAGTGAACTTGGGTTACTTCATTAACCACTGTGTCCTGTTGCGCCTCTCACAGTACTGGTCAGGGTATAAACTGGTGCAAGGCATTTAGCAACATATATTAAGAACCTTAAACTTTGTGTACTTAATTTCTCCTAAACCTTGACTTAGCGCCTGGTTGCGTCTGACGGTCAGATAAGTTAGAGGGCTGCAGGTTTATTTTCATGGGAACAGGGGAACAATTGAGGAAATCTTGCATATATGCCTCTGAGTGGAGAGAAGGGAGACATAGAGAAGACAGTATGGTTTATGCTTCTCAGCTTAGACTTGGGGACAGGACTGAGAACCCTGGAGAGATAGTGGCTGCAGGCAGAGGTTGAAGCCCTTTCAGAAGGAACTTGGTGAAATCAGAAGGCATGAGGCAGTGGGAGGAGCTGGGCCTGTATCCCACTTCCACACTGAGCCCCTACTTGGAGATACAAGGGAGTCTTCGTGCACTGATTGCCGCGTCTGGCAGTGCCCTGCAGATACCCGGTGGATGTTGAGAGGCAGGTAGAGGCGGGGTACAATGGTTGTGACCTCGTTCCAAAACACATGAGAGACTCCTCCTGAGATTCCAAGGCACGCCTGGGGAGAACTACAGGGGGCTGAAGTCTGTCGTCAGGAGTCAGGAGGAGACTAGGGAACTTGGGTATTGTGGTGAACGTGACCTCGTTTACAGCTATGGTTTTCTTGTGTCCAGGGACCTTTAGTTTGCATGAGGAAAAATCAAATAGGTAGAGAAAAGGTTTATGCCTAAAAATGTTCACTTTAGTATTTTTATAATTGTAAAAAATGGAAAACAACCAGAGTATTCCCCAATGTTTTGTTACTATATCAGGCATCAAAAAAATATTTATGAAGACCTTATAATGACTTGGGAAAAATCTTGTTATAATGTGAAATGGGAAAAGCAGTATAATATCAACCATGTCAAAAATACGTAGGAAAAAAGAGTGAGAAGATACATACCAAATGGTAGTTATCCCTAGGTCCTGGGATTATGAGTAATTTATATTTTCTTCATTATACGTTTTTGCATTTTCCAAATTTTCTTCATAAGTTTGAATTATTTGAAAAATAACAATCTTAAAAATTGTAACACAAATCTTAAAAATATATATATATTTTTTTCTTGGAGGCTATTTTTATGTGTGTAAGGGGACTGTCTTCACCAGGAACAGCAGTGATTGCTCTTTCCAGCTGCCACGGTAATTCTCCAGAATACGCAGTTCAGTGGGACACATTTGGATGCTTCTACTTGAATTAAAATTAATATCTAGGTGGAAGAATTACAGGCTTCAGGTTTGGAAGGGAAATGAAGGATCTCACCCCCCATTTACTGTTCAGTTCCTTCCTTCAAGGGCTGGCCCAGCCTCTGCTTGAACACTTCCTTGAGGGACAAATTACAGCTCCTGAAGCTGGCTCACTGGCTGTGAGCAAGTCCTCATTTTCAAGTGAAATCCGTTTGTTGGTAGTTTTCACACATTAGGTAGTTTGATCCCCCGACCCCAAGGCCCAAAGACAAGAAGTCTCTGTCTATGTCTCTTCCATATTGTGGCCTTTTAGTTATTCGAGGACACCTGTTTTATTCCCTGTAAGTACTCAGTCGTTCATTCAATGGTTATTTGTTGAATGCCCACTATACACTGTGTAACGGAAGCAGTTGAAAACATGCAGTCCCTGCCTTCCAGGTGTTCACAGTTTAGGGTCTCAGGGCAGAGGCTGAGACTCTGAGATGTGCATGCGGGAAGTTCATTGGGGAGCACCCCTGGGAACAGCACCTGGAAGGGGTGACAAAGCAGGGATGGGCAGAGGGAGGAGCTGAACTGCCAAACAGTTGCAGCAGAGGCCTCAGCTCATCCTGAGGGGAGCTCTGGGGCTGGATGACCCTTCAGAGCTATTTCACCTTGAGGCAAGGAGGTAAGGCCTTTATGCCCCCTCACTGGCCAGTCACTGGACAGAGATTGGGCCAGCTTTCTTCTCTGGGGTAAATTCCTGGGGAGGGACTCAGTTGGGAGCTGTTAGCCTGGGGTGTGGCGTCTGTCCTGCAGGAGGGGTCCACCACAGTGGAGAAGCAGTTTTTCCCCACGTGAGAGCACAGTCAGTTATTTGAGTAACTCTGTGTACAAAGTATGTGGGAGCATAGCAACACCCAGGCCTGCCTGAGGAGCCAGGACAGGCTTCCTGGGAAGTCAAGGGCATGGAGAGCAAGGAGAGTGCTGTGAGCCGCCTTTAGGCAGCAGAATTGACAGCCCTCAGTGATTGTTCGGACCTGGGTGTGAGGAACAAGGAAATACCCAGGTTTCTGGCCTGGACCCTGTGGGTGAATGTCGTGCCATTTCCCAGATAGAGAACCTGGGGGGAGAGTATATGGCAGTCCACTCTGATAAAGAAAAAAGTGGAAATGTGGGACAAAGGGTAGGGGTGTCTAGCCTCGGTGTCATTTCTAGCCCTGGAGCTTCATAAGCCAGTCTCCCCATTTATCTCCCTCCAAGACTTGGCTCTTTGGAATCAACTTATCACGTGAATATGCTTTCTCCCTTCTCTTCTCCTTACCTACCTGCGGTGTGTTTTCACAGGGGTCCCACCAAGGCTGGCCCATGTGAGCTCTTCCAGGAAGTGAGGCTGTGCTGTCCTGAAGACGGGCCGGGCAGCTGGCGGCCTGGAGATTTTGGAATGATCACTAATGGGCAAGGAGTTTGAGTTCCTGAGGATATTTGCCGGTCAGTCCTGGCTGAGTCTCAGCATTTCTCGGCAGAACCCATTGAGAAGAAGGAAGAAGACAACAACATGAGGAAGAAGAGGGAGCAGCCAAGAGAACGGTTCCATGCCTGGGACTGCCCTCACGGTCATTAGATCCCTCCCGTTTTTTTCTTTTTGACCACATAGAAATGCTTTACTTACCCACTGTACTCTGAAACAGTAGAGCTTTGTGGCTGACGACTCCTCATCTCTTGTGCCTCCATTTCTGCATCTGTAAAATGGGAATAATCATAGTACTGAGTGCATAGGGTTGTTGGGAGGAATAAATGAGATAATCTGTGGGAACTACTTTAAACCAACGCTTGGCATATAGGGACACTCAGCATTAGTTCCCGTTTTAGTGCCTGTGTGCTTTTGTGTCTAGAGGCAAAGTGCTTCTGCTGATTCGAGAGTGGAAATCTGTGATTACCTGCTACCCTTAGATTTTTCTGTTCCTGTTGCCCTGTCTCATATACACCAAAAGCCTTTCCCCAGGAACTCTGAGATTAGTGGTACTCCCTCCTTCTTAAATTACTCACCTTGTGGGGTCTGCTGAGCCCAGGCTTGGGTTGGGAAAGGACGGGTTGGTTGCTAGTGAGTCAGAGAATTACTGTCTTTTGGTTTTCTCATGTCCTCATAAGTTTCTTCTGGCTTCCAGCCTCTTGAGGTGGGTTTAAATTAGTGGATCTCCCTAAAAGCTTTCTTCTGATTTTCTCCAACCATGTGGTGGGGCCTGGGGAGGGTCCTTACCACGGGAGTTGCAGATGGACTAGCTGGGAAATTACCCTTATCCCTCAGCCCCATAGACGCCCATTCTGACTCAACTCTGAAAGGAGCAATTTGAATGAGAGGAATTCACAGTTCTCCCAGTTATGCTTTCTGTCATGTTTTTTTCTTTTCCTTTGCTCTTAAAACAATTGCTTGTACTACTCATTTGACAATGGGTAATATACTTTCTTGTGACATCTCTTGTTTCCTAATAGACTGTTAAAACTTTTACTGCCATTTCGCTTTTCAGAAGTTCATGTTTTATCTCTCCTGTCCGATTTGTTTGCAAGCTCCTTAATGAATTCTTTGTACCTCTTTATAGGATTTCATGTCCTTAGTAGAGTCTAGGAAAACATTTGATTTTTGTTAAATCCCTTAGCTGGGCCTTGCCCTCAGTATTGTTTTCTCTTTTCTTTATAGGCCTAGTTGGTTTACACAACATTGGACAGACCTGCTGCCTTAACTCCCTGATTCAGGTATTGATTATGAACGTGGGCTTCACCAAGATATTGAAGAGGTAAGACTGTTATGCATGCTGATTAACATGTATATTATTTTACGTTTTCACATATTCAGTTATTCACAGGGACTTGGAGTTTTAGAAACCTTCTTTCAAAAGTTTCCAGAGAAAAGATCTTGTTCTCCACAATTTGGACTACACATTATTTTATAATCACCTAAGAAGTTTTAAAAAAAATATAAATGCCTAGTCCCACTCCCAGGTGTTTGGTTTCCGTTGGTCTAGGGTGGGGCCCAGGCATTGGTACTTTTAAAAAGACTTAGCAGGTGATTTTATTTATTAATTTCTTTTCTTTTTCTTTCTTTTTAATTTTTTGTTTATTGCAGTAACATTGGTTTATAACATTGTATAAATTTCAGGTGTACATCATTATACTTCTATTTCAGATTACATCATGTTCACCACCCAAATACTAATTACAACCCATCACCACACACTTGTGCTGAATTATCCTTTTCACCCTCCTCCCTACCCCCTTCCCCTCTGGTAACCACCAATCCAATCTCTGTCCCTATGTGTTTATTTATTGTTGTTATTATCTACTACTTAATGAAGGAAATCATACGGTATTTGACCTTCTCCCTCTGACTTATTTCACTTTGCATTATACCCTCAATGTCCATTCACCAGGTGATTTTAAAATGCAGCCAGGATTGCCAGCTACTGACTTGGTTAAAAGGAGGTTGGAACTAGACCAGTGTCAAATGAGGAGTAAGTCAATGGCTAGGTCCACAAGTGTCTCCATTTTTTCGCAAACAAAACACACACACACACACACACACGTACTTTATATATATACACACACACACACACACACACACACACACACACGTACTTTATATATATACACACACACGTATATACTTTATCACACATTCTTTTCTGCCCTGTGCTTTCTCCTGTTTCCCTTCCATTGGCATGGGCAATTGAGAGATGCCTAGAATTAAATAAATCATTATCAAGATACACTGACATGGCTTCGTGTTGCTCTTTCTTCCCAGGACCTAGATCAGTGTTTGTGTTTTCAGTGTGGAGTGCTTCAGGCTGGCCATTTTGCCATGGACCCAGCACCTGCTACATCTGTCCTTCATTTAGTGTCATTGTTGGGCAGGGTAGGGAGGGGGTGAGGCAGCAGTTGTGCTGATTCCCTTCTTGAGAGAGTGCTCTCTATAGCCAATTTGCAAACATGGTGGTACTCAACCTTATCTGTATATTTAAATCATCTGGGAAACGTAAAAATTTTGATAACTGGGCCCCTCCTCCAGAAATTCTGACTTAGTCTGCAGACATGGAGACTGGCCTAGACATGGGGATTTGTGAGCATTCCCCCAAGTGATTCCAGTATGCACCTAGCGTTGAGAACCGTGGGGTATGGAGGTTCATGGTGGTTCTGATTCGGCAGGATAACAGTGCCAAGGGGAGTGGAGGAGCAGAGGAGAAGTGTCCCCTTTCAGCTGCTCCTGCTGCTGGAGAAGATGCAGGACGGACGGCAGAAAGCAATACGGCCCATGGAGCTCGCCTGCTGTCTCCAGAAGTACAACGTACCACGTAAGACGGTCCTCCCAGCTCTGGCTCCGGGCCTAGGCTCTGAGGAGGGTGGGAGCTCGGGAGAGGGGGAGGGACAGGGACTGATGGTCATGAGCGAACCAGGAGGAAGTTAGGCAGATGGTGGACCCTTTGTATTGGAGGCATCGTGTAGGTCTGAAATGTTTTAAAGAGCCTGCGTTTTTACAGGTGCAGAATTGGTATTATTTATGCGTATGTTACTTTCACACTCACTCTTTTTCTGCCTCTCAGTAGAGTAAGGCTAATAGTCTCCTCAAAGCTGATTCAGCTGCAGGTAAAGAATCTGAGGAAAACAGAGTAAAGGATTAATAAGGAGAAACCATGTTCTACAAAAGAAAACTTATTAATAGGTTAGTTTTTTTTTTTTTTTTTTTGAAAATATAGTCTGTTTAATCTTGTGTAATTTTATGTTATTTGGTTATCTCATCGCTCATGTCTTGAACAGTAATTCATTTATTATGATAGCAGAAAGCAATAGAAACATCCCATCCTGCTCCCAGTGAAAACATCTCCCTCCCCTGCCTCCACTC